CATACATATATAAAAAGAACTTTAAAATATAAATACAAAGTTAGATTAAATTATTGAATTGGACTGAATCGATATACATGCCCTTCTAATTCTTCCCCCGAGTATTTTTTTTACAAAATTATTTAATCGTTATACTTATAGCGAATTTAAGAAGTACATATCGAACAAAATAATTATGAAGCATATATGTGTGGAGGTGATACGAACAACACATTTATAAAATAGGGAAAAATATCAAATATACCCTTAAACTTTAAAATTAAATAAATTTTATTTTTAATACAATTTTACATTTAAAATATTTTTAAAAAGTAAAACATGATAATTAATTTGGATCTTAAATTAAGGTGACGACGGATGACATTTACAATAAAAAAGGATTTCAATTAATTTTCACAAAAAAGTCAATAAATTATTAAATGAGGAGCATTATATTAATGTCAAAATTGAAACAATAAGTCGAGTATGAGTTTTTTTTTTATATAATTAATATTTGGCGTTGAATAAATATGTTAAAAAACTTGTACTTTTTTATCTAGGAGAAATTAATTGTTCGAATAAGAAAAAATGGCAATACTTTGAATTTTTCTTGCACATACAATTACTTCATTTATTTTATTTTTACTTGTCATATTTTTATTTTGCACGTTTTTAAGATTTAAATTATAAACTTAAAAAATTATTTAATTAAATTATTCTTATTTACTCTTTTATTAATTTCAATCAAACATTATTATTTTATTTTTTTCATCGTATTAATCTCTCTCTATACCTACATTTATCCTTCGATAATAAAGATTCACTAGTTGTCTTGTCCACGTTAAGTTCACTAGCTCGCTTCCTTACTAGATAATACACCTACTATATAGATCCATTCATTATAAATGTGTTCACCAGACATCTGACTTAGCACCACTCTACATAGACCAATAACGATAAAGGTCAGATCAAAGAATAATAGGATATAGAAGTCATGTGCGAAAGTCAGCTCAGTCAGAACAAAGGCGACAATATAGTGGAAGTGACATGTAGCGCTAAAAGCAGTTCGGACAGACGAGTGATAATACAAGCAAGCTAACATACAGATTGAAAGCCCACGGGCCATGAACTTTTAATCCCCACGGAATAAGCAATATATAATAATATGAACAAATATCTGTTAACTCCATACCAGTAATCGCGATAATAAAAAAATAAAAACGTTATTCGCGATATATAATTATGAATATAAATTAAATAATAAAAAAATAACAAAAAACATTAGCATGCTTGGATGATGGATCCAAGTCAGTGTAACGTAAGGATGACTAAATAAAGATAATTATATCTAATTAATTTATTGCTTCTTAAAGAACCAAAAATACAATATAATAAAATTGAAAAGTATATTGCTTTAATTTTATTTGACTAACTCTAGTAATTAAGGATCAAATCAATGTACTAATTTCAAAGTATATGATAAATATGACTTTGAATTTTTCCTTTTTCTAAGTACACATTAAGTAACGACTTAAATTTATAGACTATGATCTTTATGTTATCATTATATATTAAAATTATTATCACTCTGTGTTAATATTCGTTTTCATCTGATTAATTTACATTTATATCTAAAAAAATATTTTTATTAAAAGTGTCTTCAAATTCAGAATTCAAACTTAACATTTCTAATCAATAATACAAAATATTGATGATTTATTATATTGTTGATATTATTAGTACTATTATTATAGTCAAAATTAAGCACTTATTTATTTGATGAATAATCTCACATATACGCTCTACTCATTCAAGCAACTTGAATAATAGTATATGTAGTGTGAAAATTGAAAATAATTCAAATTAATTTTTAATATAGATATATAAAAATCGAAAATATAATAAGATAAAATAAAAATTACATATAATAAAGTCTTCTATATTTTAATTTTTTTTAATGTTTTGATTTTCTTAAATAAAAAATCTGATTTCATCTTTGAAAAAAAGTTTATAAAGAAAATGGGTGATTGTATCATGTGTTCCACACACATATTATTATTTCTTATGTTATTCTGATTCGAAATTATGGGTCACGCACGTTAAAATTTCATTTTATGAAATTGATATTTAAATTTAAAATCTTCTAAATATTTTATATCATATTAAATCGTGTAATCGATCTCTTATAAAAATAACAGCTTTGATTTAGATTTTAGAGATAACATATTTTTAATTAATATATATATATATATATATATATATATATATATATAAATGCATAATGTTAATTCAACATGTCGACATTATTTCTCAAAGATCCTTTAGATAAATTATATATATCCTCCTTTTTCAAATATATGAAAAGACACTGTATCAAAATATTAAGAGATCAATAATCAAGAAATGAAGATTTATTTGAAATAATAAAAAATAGTGACGAAAAACAGTAGAATTATTTTTGTATGATTTATACTTTACATATTTAAACAATGAAAATAATAACTATTAATGCTTACATATTAAAACAGATTGTTTACGTCACACCCTTTAGAATACGACTCTTCTATGAATTCTGCATAAACACAAAATATTTTATATATCGAACTGTTGTTTTAAATTCATTTTAAAAATGAATTTAGTAACATCACTACATGTAAGTGGTGCATCATATATAATCGTTGACTATTTGTGTATAATCCAATTTCTAATCCTTCTAGATTAATTATCAAAATAAGTAAAATAATATGTACGACTTTTACATTAACTTTTTTTTATTAAATAAACTCAAGAAAATATAATATTATAGTAATCCATCTATGTACGGCAAAGTACATGATAAGTACGGACAACTACTCCAATATTTTTAAAATTATTTACACAATTTATTTTTAATGTAAATTCAATGAAAATAATTATAAAATGTACATTAGGGCTCCATAAGAGCATCATCATCAAAACTATTATTGTTAGCACGTATATGTTTACAATATTTTAAATTAATATCGAATATGTATATGCTCCGTCTCAATTTATAAGGTCGAAAATAATATTAGTGAATTTGATTATAATTTTTAAAAAAATGTTTTAAATTAAATTTGTATTTGCAAATTATATATAAAAAATACTATAAGTAAGTATAGCTAATGATTTATTAAAAGATTGACAAAATTATAACAAAAAAATAAAACTGTCTAGATCATTCAAATAATGACATTTGCACATAAATTGAAACGAATAATATTATAAATAAAAGTTATGAGCGGCACTAAACAATTGAAGTCAAATATATATATAATATTAATATTATATTACTCACATATAATATTTATATGAAATTATATTAATTTGCTATGACTAAGTCATAAATCAAAGTATAGTATAATTAAGAATATAGTTATGATTTATGATTTACTAATCAATTAATGAATGTAATGATTTAATAATCAGGTACTGATCCATGGTTAATTTGTTATCGGTAAAGAAATAAATGTGTTATTGTTCCATAGGTGTGTGTGTGTCTATTGGTGTGCTTAATAATTAATTAGAATTTATTAGTGACAAGTGATAATAACTCATCAAGTTATAATTTTAATTAATTTTTTTTCCAAAAAAAGAAAAAATATGTGGGAAAGGACTAAAAGAATATTGTAGAAGAATGAAAATTGCACAAATTTACAAAAATATTAATGGTCAGTCACAACTCATAACTTTTATTTTATAAAATTACACTCTCCCTGTTCGGAATTGTTTGTCATGATTTCTATTTTTAAAGTCAAACTATAAAAACTTTGACTAACATTTTAAGATATATTTTTTCATCATATTAATATGCAAAAAATTGTAATTTATAGTACTTTTCATGTAGTTTTAGAATATCTAATTTTTTGTTTAAAATTTTGAATTAGAGTGATCTAATTTACCTTTAAAAATTAATCAAATTGACTTTCGATAAGCGCAACATGACAAACAATTTCAAACGGAGAGAGTATATATTAGTCACATAGTTTAAATTTGTTCGTATAATTTTATTAAATATATTGTTATAATAGAGATGATCGATAATAATTATACAATAATTGATATTAATAATTGAAATGGCTAGTGATATTTGTTAATATATATATATATATATATATATATATATATATATTATGTTCACATAGGGTCATAAATACATTAAATGATGGCTCACCAAATACACACTTGCAATTGCCCAAAAGACACCAATAATAATATTCAAAATACTTTAGCAAAATTTTCCATCATTTTTCACCTACTTCTATCTACATGTATAGACACATATCCATTTGTCTACACACAAAAAAAATTATAAAAAAAAAAAGAAGATAATTCGTCACGTAAGATTTATTTAGGTCACATATTGAAGGATGATGTAAGCAATTTATCACGATATAAATATATTAGTGACTATTTTTATTAATCAGACTCATAACTTAGAAATCACCCATAAAATAATTTTATCGTTTCTTTAACTTTATGGTAGCTAAATAGAGAAGTGTGACATATATATGATAGCAATAATTTTTCCCATTCCAAATCTACTACTACAACAAGTTGGACAAACTCTTCTATATATAACCATTCTTGATTTTAAATTGGAATTATATTCCCACAATCTTTTTTTAAAAATAAAGTTCTACACGTATACCCATATTACAACATAATATATCACGTAACCTAAAAGATCAATATATCTTTTTTATAGATCAGTATAACAATTTATTTGGAAGGCGCACAAATAACATGGAACAAGATGTTAAATTAAGTCGATATGTTAAAATCTTCAGTACTAATGGAAAAAAAAAACAAGTATAACATCACGCGATTTCAATATTATTTGTTATAGTAGATAATACTTATATTTTTTTAATGAAGGTTATTTAGGTGATCTAATTGTGCAAAAAATTATTCATATTATGTGTGCACATAAGTGAAACTAAGCTAATTAATTCAAACAAAAGATATCTTTAGTTACTTACTATCCAATTTAGTCATAACAAAAGAAAAAGTCAACTAGTCATAGTCAAACTATTCAACTAATAAACCTTATAAGATCCTCATTTTCATTCTAATTTCTTCAAACCAAAACCAAAAACTTTATTTTTTCACATTCAAGAGATACCCCCCACCCCCACCCCAACCAAAAATAATTACATTTCTCAAACATTACATGAAATAATGGTAATTTTACCTACAAAAAGAGAAAGAGAAGGTGAATTTAAGACCATAACAACCATGACAAATTACTTGATGTTGTTTTCATCTCAAGAAAATCATTTTAACACTATGGTGAACAACTCTCCTAATCGAGTTTTCGAGTGCAAGACTTGTAATAGACAATTTTCATCGTTTCAAGCACTAGGTGGTCATCGAGCAAGTCATAAAAAGCCAAGATTAATGGGAGAAATGAATTTTCATTTGCCGATTTCACCACCTAAGCCAAAAACACATGAGTGTTCAATTTGTGGACTTGAATTTCCTATAGGACAAGCTTTAGGTGGACATATGAGAAGACATAGAGGTATGTTGAATGAAAATAATAATAATAATAATAATAATAATAATAATAATAATAATAATAATAATAATAATAATAATAATAATAATAATAATGTTTTGAAGAAATTAAAAAATCCAAGAGTTTTATGTTTGGATTTAAATTTGACACCATTGGAAAATGATCATTTAGAATTGATCAAGTTGAAGAAAGAAGCTCCTAAAGTTGATTGTTTCTTGTAATTATTGAATATCGAGTAAAATAAACCCTATATAGATGTATAGAATTAAGTTTAATTATTTCTTCTTATGGATCATGTTCTATGATAAGGGTTTATTTACGTGTTTATAGGTTACCATCGACGAAGGACAGACAGTTCAATATTTATTGTATATACCTAAATCAAATGTTACTTTTTATTTCTCTAAGTTCCTTATTAGAGAAACAAAATATTAGTGAAAGTTGAATGATACAATGTTTATTAATCAGATCCGATGATTGAGATTTTTACATTCTTAATCAGAGCTGTTAAGTTCGAATATTACTTTTTATTTCTCTAAGTTCCTTATTAGAGAAACAAAATATTAGTGAAAGTTGAATGATACAATATTTATTAATCAGATCGGATGATTGAGATTTTTACATTCTTAATCAGAGATATTAAGTTCGAATTCTAAAAAAATGAAAAAAAAAATTAGTTGAGATGGTGAAAATAAATTAAAATAAAATATACAACGTTTTAGTTTGGGATATTAAATTAAATAAATGTGTTTTTTTAAAAAAAAAAAAAGAAAGAAAGAAATGCCTATGACTATGACTTGTCAATTTGGTAGTACACATTCAAGTGACGACTTATTCAATTGACTATAATATTATCACTATTATTAGTCAACGTAATTAATTATTATTTGATGAAAAATGATATAACTTTCTTCCAACTAACTTTGGCTAAAATTTTAATAATTGAATTAAGCAAGTTGAAATAGTATACGTAGAGTGTGAAAACGATCGTGGAACCCATACAAGTTGATAAATATAATTTTTTACGATTGTGAAATTTAATTTCATGACTTCTTACAATAATAACGTATTCAGTGATCTATAACACGTTGTGTATACATTCTATTTTTATCTTAGTGAGGAAGAAAAATTTGTCTTTCGTCGAAGCTTGTAATAACTTACTTGCTATAAAAAAATATTTATGAAGCGTATATAATTTCTCAGGTGTTCTATTAATCATCTAACTATTGTTATATTAGTAACATTAAAAGATGGAAGAACACCAACAAGGGTCGAGCCTCCTTAGGTACGGAGTCGTCTTTGTTAGGGAGCGCTATACCTTTTAATGTGAAACTTCTCGACGCGAATTTGAATTTAGTCGGACTTCAATGTGAGTATCGGACACCGAGTATAAAATCAAAAAAATTAATGAAAGAACATGAAATCATTATAAGAAGTTAGGAGAAACGATGATGATTGGATTTGTAAGCTAATGTGATTTCAAGAATCAAACGAGAATAATCAAATACCACACGGAAGATTCAAGATCAATTGATCAAACTATTATTAATTTTTTTTTAAATCAAAAATATATGCAGAAATTCCACAACCTTTTATAGTATAAAATCAAATTAACTGACGACATATATCATATATATTTATTTTTCTCTTCTAAAAATATATCAATATTGCTTATGAAAATCTATATTGCACGTTATAGGAATAATTTATAAAAAATAAAAAAAGAAGAGTTGCTTGAAAATATTAATTTATATTTAGTAACATCACTTACACGCAAGGGGTGGCATCATAATATTAATTAAATTATATACCAATGTACCTAGCCAATAAATCTGTCTCCATTCAATCCAATATTAATTAAATCTTCTAGTATTATAAAAAAAATAGAAATAATTAATATTTTAAGAATTAATATTTGTACGAATAAGTACTAACTAGTACAGATGTAGACTTAGCATATTTAATTTCATATTTGGGAGATTTCGATATGAATATTAATTAAGAAATTAGGAAGACGAAAAATAAAAGGTAATGTCATGGATCATGGTGATGTTATACGTATAACTTTTCAAACTAATTACGGAGGGTTCTATAAAGTTTTTTTTTTTTAAAAAAAAATCGATCTGAATTTATATCACCAAGATTATATTCATGGATTAACATATACGAAAAAATTGAGAAAATAGCTTATTTTTATCAAATAACTCCCTATATCCGAAAAATGTCATGGATCATGATCTGACTATATATACTGCTCTAATTTATTACAGAGTGTCTCGTAATATTTTTTTTTTAAGAAATCGGTTGGAGTTCATATCACCAAAATATTCATGAACTAGCACACACGAAAAATTGAGAAAATCACATAATTCCTGTGAATTGGCTCCTAATTGCTCAAAAATGGTGAGATTGTACACACTATTCTCTCAACTCCCTACTGAGGTTAATTGAAAAAAATCTCCTAATTTTCGTAAATTAACCCCTAAATGCCTCAAAAATTGTGAAATTGTATGTATTTCTCCCTCAACTCCTTACATAGGGCCCTCCTATAAAGGTTTCGCAAAAAATCAATGCATGGAAAGTCAAATCACCAATATATTCATAGGCTAACAAACAAAAAAAACTAAGAAAATCGTCTAAGTCCTTTAAATTGGCCTCTAAATGTCCAAAAATACACTGTATAAATTACGAGACTATATGTATTGCTCTCCTAAATAGAGGAGTTCCGTAAATATTTTATTAAAAATAATTGAAACTCATATCATCAAAATATTCATAAGCTAACACATGCGGAAAAAAAATTAATTCATGTAAATTGACATCAAAATATATACTATAAAAATGATAAGACTATACGGACTACTCATTAATCCTTTAAAGATTTTGCAATTACTCTCACATTCACTTTGTTTTAATAGAATATACCTAATTTATTCCATAAAATAATGTTTTCTATTTCGTCATTTTAAAAAAATAAAAATAAAAAGTCAACTAATTTTAGTCAATTTAGACCAACTATATTATGACCATACTACAAAATATAAATAACCTACCTCCATGAGATTCTCAATTTCATTTTTTTGTTATATAATTCAACCAAAACCAATTATAACAACGTCTCCATTTTCACACCAGATAAATAACTAACCACACTTATAATTATTTAAACTCGTTTTTTTATTCGAATTATGTAAATATACATATAATAGATGCTTAGTTTTTTAAAAAAAATAAAAATTGTACTTTTATTTGTTATGGATCTTTACTAGATAGAGATTTAATTATTCGTGTATACGACTCATACATATTTATCTAATTTATGATCGTATACATGGTACGTATTTACGTATTAATATATGATAGTTTTCAAATTTTCAGATCATAATTCCATCATAATAACTATTTTAATATAGCAAATCATGAAAGAATTTTGATTTAGTTTAGCTCATTTTTGAATTTATATACATGCGATTATCATTTTTAAATTGAGTCAAGTGATACCTAAAATTGATGTTGACAATTATATAAGTTTGTGAATATTGACACAATATCGTTAAAATTCTAAATGTCTCACTAATCGACCACCTTGTCAAATTAAACGAATAATAATATACTCAGTATGCTTTCATATATGGGATCTGAGGAGGCAGGTACGAAAGACCTTATTTCTACTTTTATTAGGTAAAGACATTGTTAATTTCGACAGAATCTCGATTCAAGAAAATATTTCAAAACATGAGTTTGAAAAATACAAAATGAAACATGAATCGACTTTTATATAAAAGTCTTATAAAATACGAATCTAAATTAGTTTGAATCAGTATTTAGACCTAAAAAAGTATTCTATGATCACATGTTAAGTGGATAATTTTCTTGCTCATTTAAGACTCAAAAATTAATAATGTCATTAAATAATTAATAAGCATAAATCACGGGTCAAATTAATATAATTAAATACAAACCAAAAAAAAAAAGTTGTTGTAAACCACCTTTAGCATATACATTTTGCCTTAATGTTCACACATGCATGATCATCATCTAAATAATAAAAAATATCTACATTTTAATTTTTATATCATTGTTAAATAAAATTATTTCTATTTGAATAGTATTCTTTTTTCGAGATAAGATTTATGTATATTATTTCACCCTCTCTGAGTTTCGCTTGTGAAATTAAATTGACTAGTATATATATTATTGTAATTGTTATTAAATTTAGTATTTGTGAAGAAAATAATTATATATGATCTAAAATTATCTAAGAAAAAAATGATACAATGTAAAACAATCATCAAGTATATATTAATTACACTAAATATGGTACTATATATTACATCTATTAGGGCTAAGGTCCTATATTCCCTCATATAAACGAATAAATAAATCCATATCTAGTACAAAATACATAAGAAAAAAAAATAGAATTAGAAAAAAAAAATTAAAATAATGAAACATCTAGATGTTTTAGATATATATGTGCAAAAATATATCGATATGAATTCAGAATTTTGAATCAGCGAGTTCAGCATATGTAAATGATTGGATTGATAACTTTGAACTCGTAGAACTCCTATCGTAGATTCGCGATCCGATCCAATATTATTGATTGATCACAAAAAGCAATCAACTATAGGATTTGCCTTCTTCAACTTGAACTCTAAATCATTTTCCAATGGTGTTAAGTTCAAATCCAAACACAAAACTCTTGGATTATTTGATGATTTCTTCATAACATCGTGATTAGGAACTTGATTATTATTATTATTATTTTCATTTAACATACCTCTATGTCTTCTCATATGTCCACCTAAAGCTTGTCCAATAGGAAATTCAAGTCCACAAATTGAACACTCATGTGTTTTTGGCTTAGGCGGTGAAATCGGCAAATGAAAATTCATTTCTCCCATTAATCTCGGCTTTTTATGACTTGCTCGATGACCACCTAGTGCTTGAAACGATGAAAATTGTCTATTACAAGTCTTGCACTCGAAAACTCGACTAGGAGAGTTGTTTACCATAGTGTTGAAATGATTTTCTTGACGTGAAAATAACATCAAGTAATTTGCCATGGTTGTTATATCGAATTCTCCTTCTCTTTCTCTTTTCATTGGTAAAACCACCATGATTTTTTTTTGCAATTTTTGAGATTTTTTTTTATTTTTTTGGGGGGTAAGAGGAAGAAAAGAATATGAAATATTTTTAGGTTTTTGTGGTGGAAGGTTATTTATTTATAAAAGATTTTTAGTTGTATAGTTTGACTAGTATTAGTTGACTTTTTTGTTATATGATGAAATTGAGCAATGTTAATTTCTTGTGGGATAAGTAAGTTAGATTTATTCTCTTTTCTCATTAGAAAAAATAAAATAAAAAGATACCGGGGTTTATTGCTATGATTGATTTTTTTTATTTTTATTTTTTTGGGTTAGGGTCTGTTTGGCATGTTAAGAGGGTTTTCGACTTTTTCATG